AAAAAAAAAAAAAAAAAACACATCATAGTAAAACCAATACCTTCTCAGCTTCGCATCGAAGCTAAAAACTAAAAAATAGGTTAAACATGATAGATTATTGTCAACTTTTAAAAAATCAAATACGATAATAATTTAAGGAAACGATTTATTTTATGTGAAATTACTTATTTTATACTAAATAGAAATAACATTAAAAATTAGAGGTGATAGGAAAAAATTCTATTGCATATTAGAAATCTACTCAAAAAATTTGATTAAAAAAGTATATTTTTGTCCTTAATGAAAACTTTATGTTAACCATTGTTGTTACTGTTGTCCAAATGTGTAAAAATTATGAAAAAAAAATTACTGCAGCATGGTGACTTAATTAAAATTTATAAATTTGTTAGAACCTGCGGATCCACTCTGTATTTTGTATAAAAAATATTGATAACCATAAAAAATTATTTAAGGATAAACTCCAGAAACTATTGGTATTTGGAAAAAGTCTGAGGGCTAAAGAAGTCCTCGGCCATATCTGATTAAACGAATGAGTTGTAAATTTGGAAACGTCACCGAAATAACTTTGAGTATGTTTATAATATTCATTTTTTGGAAGGGCATATTTTTTTTATCGTTTCATTATAATGTATATCACACTTTACGTAATTTAAATTTCTTTAAAACTTCTCTAAATAATTGCAAGTATAGAGTATAAAAAATAAATACCAATCGTTCACATCAATGTACATGGTATTGTATCCTAAACATTAAAAACACAGATAAGTGGACATCGTTCAGAATATAAAGCTTTCCGTATACTAACAAGTAGTCTGCAAGTGCAATGAATGTGTATTCAAAATAATTACACGAATCATTTAGATGTGTAATGCAGTGTGGTGGTAGCGCAATGATGTGTGTAATCATCTTTGAAGCGTAAATCTTGATGCATAACTGTTTGGCGAATAGTAGCTCTGTGCCACTAGCCGCTCACAACCAACACGTTGCGTCGTATGCCTAGAACGGCTACTAGAATAGACGCCGACCGTTATACCGCGACCCTTGAGTAAATGAAAACTAACCTTCTGAATCCCTGGTACTGTTTTTCAATATATTTGACCGACCAATACTTTTATAAAATGGTGGCTATCAAAAATATGACTATTATTCATGAACTCCTGGTACCATTTCACCGTTTTATTTTTTAAACTTCGCATACACCAATTTGGTGTGTACGCGTCGATTAGGTTGCCTATATGAAATTCTTAATTTCTTAAAATTGTTAACAAAAAATTCAATCATACGTGTAAACAATTAGATATTTATCGTATGTATGTGGTGTATAAATGAGATATTTCAGTTATTCATATAAGCATAACTAGGTACTTTTTCTGCCTCAAAATATATTCTTTAGGGAAGTTATAAATTGTTATGTTATCGTCGGCTACGTGCAAAAAATCTCAAGTCGTATTTTATTATTTTATAGCAAAAGATTTTTAAATTTGTATTTGTAACTATAGAAACGAGGTTAAGTTTTTGAACATTAACGTTTTAAATTTGGCATGAAATATTTCTTTTATGATATTAATATTTGTAAAAAAGTAGTTTATACAGATTTACTATAAAACACCTCGTTTCAAAAGTTTTACGAAAAAAAAAACGATTAAAAATATGAATTACAAGATTTTGCTGAGTATCCGGAATTAAACAGTCTTACGTCTAACAAAATTTATAAAAAAATATTGTTACAATGCTAGTACTCTTATATTTAGAAGTTATAACTTAGGTGAGAGTACCTTTGTGGTCTAAAAACAAAATTCAACAAGAATAATTGGTTAAAATTATTTAGAATTTTTTTTTTTTTTTTTTTGGTGCGTTCCTCTGATCCTATATCGACGAAATAATACTAAGACAATTCTCAATAATATTATTATATTAGAAAAAAAATAGTGGTTAACGATGAATCAATCATTCTGTATGTATAGTAATGAAATTGTGTTCTAACAATACGAGTACTATGCTTATTAGACAAACATATTTAACGCGATTTTCTTAAATATATAATAATATCATTATTATTATTATTAGTCTACATGTTATGTAGATTAATAGAAAAATGACCCTGTTATAATTATTTGATATACATTTAACGTGATTCATTAAGCATCAGTAATATAACACAAATAACATATATTTTCAACACATCCTATTAATTAATAATCTATATAAGCTCAAAAGTTTAACGCTCATTGTTAACCAAACCTTTCATTACGATCCTTTTGGAGTGGCTTTGTCACTGTAGCCAAACATAAAACATATTAAATTATACAGAAAACAAAATAAAGCAAATCGGGATAGTTAAAAATTGATCACGTAGATTGTGTTACTTAACTAAGTGACTAGCACAACCGCTAAAAGAACTTTAATCTGATTTACTTCAGTAATTGTTCAAATTAACTTTAATAATAACACATAATTTTATGAAACTATACAATTTTATATGAAAAAAATGTTATTTTTCGTTTGAAAAACGACAATAATTGCTTTTTAATTTCATAAGTAACATATATGAACCAGCATAAGCGAAAATACTAACATACATTAGTTAATAATAATAGTGGAAATACTAATTTATTTACTAATTTAAATACTATTAATTCTAATTTCTGAACATGACAGTATTAAATACAACAGAATCACTGATATTTGTATAAATTTATTAAAAATAGTTTTAGTAACAAATGAATTATTAAGTTAAAAACAAATTTAAGGTATAGAAAATCAATAAATATTACATGATTAGTATAAAAAATTATTGGAAAAAAAAGTAAGAGACAATATATGTAACAAATAAAAAAATTAGAATATCTCAAATATTAAGTAAAAAAAAATATGAATAATATTAATTTAATATATAATTAATTTATAAAAATATAAATGAGAATATTAAAATTGTAGTTCGACCTTAGAAATTAGAAATTATTTATCGGAAGAAGGTTTTTTTGTGATTTTCAACATGATTTTGCCATCGGATTTATTATCAGAAGCCGAGTGGAACTCGACGGCGCTCGAGTAAACAGTTTTCTTAGACGGTTTTCCCTCCAAGATTGTGTTTGAGCTTTTCTTTTTGGGCAGATTTTTATGCTGGTCAGTAGGCCGAGCTGAGCTAGAGGAAAGCCCTGTTGAATTAAAAAATATATAGAAATTAAAAATACAAATATTGCAAATGTGTTTCGTAGCGAATAAATCAAAATTATACCATTATAATCGTTTTTATAATCTTGCGAGGTCTGCGATTCATTTACCGAATCTGAAGTTGAAGAAATGGCCTTTGGGATTATTGTTTTTTCAGACCCATCCGCACTAGGGCGTAACACGACAGATCTCGAGTGTTTAGGTCTCTTAGAAGACCCATTGTCGTCGAAAACGTTTGGTCTTTTCGACGAGCATGAATTTTTAGATGGTTCCTTCGTAATTTCCGACTTAGATGTATGCTTTTTCGTACTTGATCTTGGTTGGGGTCCGACTACGTCCTTTTCCTTATCATCGACGACGACTTTGTTCTTTGGAGATGATTTTTTAATATGTGCCGAAGTCGATTTAAGAGGAACGTCTTGTGGATTCTTCATTTGCTGTTTTTCTGATACAGATTTTGCTGACGAACATTTTGGATTGGCCTTTGGTAAACTCTTACTAGTAGACACAATAGCAGACTTGTTATTATTAAAGTTTTGTATATGGACGAAAGATGGCGTTATAAACGGATAAGTAGGATTTTCACGTAAACGTTTGAGTTGAGCAAATAATCTCTGAGTCTTCGTTTTCATCGTTATGGATTATTTAAAAAATTATTTAAAATCTTAAAGGTTTGCACGATGTTGACTTTGAGAACAATTAAGACGATAGACACTTTAAATTAAAAATTTTCAAAGGAGTAATTGTATTCGTAAAATTTATCTGCTTATATAAGAAAAAAAAATGTATCCGTAGTAACTATTAACAAGTTTCTTACAAGCTAACTAATATTTTCTAAATTAAACTACAAAAATTGTTTATTTTCGTTAGTAACATATACCAACCAGCACAGAATAAGTTGCTAAACTATTAGTTTTACTATGATGTTTTAATTTTTTGAATTATTTGTATCTCTGGCCATTCATTTTCAGATCACAAATTATATCTAGCCAAGTATATTATTATATATAGTATAATAATATATAATATATACAAGTATATAATTATAATACATTTTTTACTTTTAACTATTAAGTAATATTTGTAAACTAATCTATCGATCTAATATACAACTGATAACTTAAAACAAATTGATTTTTGTCATAATATTAAAGAAAAAAAAGGAATGAAAAGTATTAAAGATCTCTATTGTTAGTTTTTTAGAAAAATTTGATTTATTAAATAAATAAATGTTGAAATGAGATGTAAACTTAAGATAGTTGAAAGTTGAACATTCAACGGGGCGGTATGTTAGCGCGTATGGATGACCCGGTCATCTGTTTGTTCTACCGCAGGGGAGATAAGTAGTAAATTTTTGCAGTTAAATATTTTTTAATATGATAGAACCTAAGTTAAAACAGTTGTAGGTTTTATGCTATACAAGAAAAGGACCTGTTAATTGTATGGTATATAATTTTTTGAAAACTATGTCGGTTTTATTTACAGTAAAATTTGTAGATTTTTTATTCGTTGTATTGTTATAGTTTCAAGTTTTTGGAAGTTTCTTTCATGGGATTTATGAATACCATTCAGTGAATGCCATAGAACCCTGTGACATGAATTTCTTTTCTAGTTATTTTTTGGTGTAACACTCTATAGTTTTTTTTTTTCTAAGCATATTTGATTCATATCAGTAAAACTTAGTATGGCACACGTGAATTATCGCCAGAGAAATATTAATTACATTTTGGAGAATTCGGGTCTATTAAATTAAGTATTTTTTTAGTTAATTAACAATATAAAAGTGTATAATACTATTTTACTACTAATATGTATATTTCCTTGTTGAAATATCAATAGTTTATTGCTATTATAATAATGTTATTTTAAATAAAAATTATTTTGTTTTATTAAATATTACTTACTGTTTTATAAAAACTATAATTATCACATTGTAGATTTTATAAATTCTTTTATTATTATTCATTAGAAATTATAAAAATATTATAATATTTCCTTTTCAAAAATGTATAGTATCCTGTGTTCTAGTATTTCAAAAAAAAAAAAAAAACAAATTGGTCCTATCCCCTTTCTTTCCACTTAAAAGTAGTATGAACTTAACTTTTTTAAATGAAAACATTGAAAAATTAAGAAAATGATCTAATTAAGTAAACGATAAGCTTATAACAACTTTTGAACTAGCGTTTTAAAAGATATTAGCAATTATTAATATGGCGGGAAAAATAGTGCGGTTTATAAATGTACAGAAATAATAATAAACAGATTCATTATATAAAAAAAAGATCAATACAATTATTGAGTAGAAAGTATCGATATTAAATTAAAAAATGTTTTGCCCACCAACTATTTTTGACTTTGACATCACTGCAATTATTTATGATAAATTACAAATTCAATTTCAAAACTGAAATTATAATGAACTAACGACGGTTTGAAGAAAACTCGACATTCTTTTATTCTTTTTGATAAATTTACACTTGTATTTTGTTCAACATTTATCATAGAGGTATTACAATATAAAATGACTATATAATTTTTTATAATTATACACCAGAGTCTTCTCTCCACTTCACCCACCCAAACTTTTTCCTTTATCTTATAACTCGTGTCCTCCTTTGTCAAACTCGTACTCAATAAACTCTGTCTTACTATTGTTTATTTAAAATACACTTTCTTCAAGAGCTGTTCTCCACAACTCTAGTCATTTATTAATTTATGCTCTATTTTCTCCTATTAACACTATATAGATGTTCAGTAAGTAAGGAAACGGGTTTCTATTGTTCTCACTGTTTGTAATAATTGGCCTCTTTCCTTATTCACTAAACACTCTGTATATTCATCGAATAATATGCACCATGATACCACTCCATGTATTTCTCTAGTAGTTTCATCCAACACTATAGAAAATAAATAAAAGCTTAAAGCAGAACCTTTTTGTACTCTTACTCTTACCCTAAGATGTATTGTCACTCCGCCCAAACTTTTTACACTGGTACAAATGCCATTAAATATATCCTATATTATATCAATGTACATTTTTGGGACTCTTTTCCTCATTAATGACTACTTTAAAACCTCTCTCGGTGCTCTACCATACACTTTTTCCAAATCTATAAATACTATACACAGCATTTTTTTCTTTTCTCTATATTTTTCTATTAGTTGTCTTAAAAGACACTGGATCCATCATTTAACTCTACAAATAAAAAACCTAACTGGTTGTTTTGATACTGATGTTTCTTTTCTTATTCTTTTATCTATTACTATTTCCCAAATTTTCATACTATGACTCATAAGCTTTATGCTTCTATAATTTCCACACTTTTGTATATCTCTTTTGCCTTTAAATATCGCCACCACATACTATTCCTCCGTTCTTTTGGCATATTTCCTTCTAATAGGATTTTATTCAAAACATCCTTCAGCCACTTTATGCCAACACCGCCTAATATTTTCCACACTTCTGCTGGCATTTTATCTGGTCCTATTACTTTATTATTTTTCATTAATAACACAGCCTTCCATACTTCTTTCTCACTAATTAAATCTACCAGTCCCTCATTCTACGAGATATCCTCTAATATCTGTCTTGGATACTCATCATTCAGTATTTTTTTAAAATAGTCTATCCGCCTTTATTTCACATCATCATCATTATCGCTCGTTACCACCCCCTTATCATCATTTTTTACACACCTTAAATTATGATAATATTTAGGCCGTTTTCTTATTACATTTGGAAGTCTATAAACTTCTCTTTTACCTTCATTTGTTAACCCACCATATAATTCATCATACCTCTTAAACTTCGCTTTACTTACTGTATACTTAGCTTATTTACCCACGCGTTTTTACTATATCCAATCTTCTCTCAATTTGCTCTTTTGCCATACTTTGAACTGCTTTTTCTTACTCTCTATAATTTTATGAACTTAAAAATTTTTTCAAGAAGAATACTATAATAATAAAACTTATCATAATTCCTTTTATTATTATTGTTTTAAATAATTATTATTTCAAGTATTTTAAAATGTTATAAAAAATAGTTAATTTTAATTTAAATGCTATTTAACATTGTTTTATTATTAATTGAACGTAAACAATTGTTTACTGCGCTCTATCCACGAGTCCGGACGTAAATCGTGTGATTGTTCTAACTTATAAAGGTTCAAATGTAGTAGATTTTACAATTTATCATTAATCCTTTTAAACAAATCTAAACAAAAACTTTGAAAATCTATACATTTTAAGACGTAAAATCACTTGATAAGTACTGGGAACCGTATGTTAGCAATTAGTGCTAACATACCAAAAATGATTACCGGGAATGATCTACGGGTTTTTTTGGAGGTCTCATCATAGGTGCAACAAAAATGAGCTTAGTTTTCTCAATTAACAAATTAGTTCCCCAAAAAATTAAAAAAAGTTATGTATGTTGTCATACATTTTGTTTTGCTTATCACTTTATTTTAGAAATGAATATTGCTATTAAGGGGCATGGACATCCTCTGGCTATGCTACTTTTTCTCTAGACATAAAATACTTTTAAATTATTAAAAACTTAAAAATTAATGATAACAATGGGTATAATAATTTTTAACAGTCATATTTATTCAAAATAAACATAATATATATTTTATATTATAACTTATAAATACATATTAAAAATAAAAAAATTGTGTTGTAAATTCTCGCTGGAAACGCAAGATAAATATCAAACACAATAAATTGTTGGTGATACTAATTTCACAAAATACGTTTCATCGAGGAAACTGTCGTATCTATAATCTGGTTTACGCTAGTGATAAAAAGAGTTAGTAATATAATTTATTATAATGTGTCTGAAGCTACCAATTTCTGATCTACCAGCTTCTTATCACAGACGATTAGCGATAATAAAATGGTAGCCATATATAAAATTCTTGATAGTATTCAACTCTTCCACAAGAGGCCGCAGTATAATACTAATCATTTACTAATATTCATAATAGGTAGGCGCCTTTATATTCTACTAACTGTATTTACAGATATATGTACTTGTAATAAGCAGTTACACAACATATTTCACCACTTTTATAACTAAATCGCGAGAAATTTTATAAGCATTCTGAATATGCAAAAAAATACCTGGATAAAAAGCAGAAATTACGTTTAAAAGCTCTTAAACGCACCTACCCGGCCCTAGTAATTATCTTTATTGACAATGTTCCGAAACAAGTCCAGGTATTTTCTATAAGTTAAGTGTGTATGTAGTTATTTAAACAAATATAGCTGACACCTAAAACTAAAAAAGCCCCACTCCACTCCCAAAAATAAAGCTGACATCATTTTTATTTTGTCAGTAGTTAAATGGATTAGGAAAGATGAATCACTTTGAATATAAAAAATACATTATAACATTATTTAGAAGTATTTTCTATTTCTTAAAAGATAAGGAGAAAAATAAGAAAATAGAACTTTCTTGTTTTGAACGTATTTTCCATTACATATCAAATATAAAATCTATCATGGTAAATCTAAAATAAAATATGAGAAAATTAAAAATTTTTTTTTAAATAATAGTTCTCATTCTTACTTAGTAGCTCTAATTTTGTCAATGGAATTTATTTTAAGTAACTTTTTTGCATGTAAATCCATAAAGCATTAATAGTCAGAAATAATTATATTTTGCATGTTTTAT